TAATGGGACTGTTAATTTTTTTCTTACTAAGAACTCCTTATATAAAATTTTTACCGCATGTTTCTATGTATATATTTTAATTTATTTGAGATTTCTGATGATTAATCTTTTTTCTTACTAAGAACTTCTTATGTAAAATTTTTACAGTATGTTTCTATGTATATATTTTAATTTTTTTGAGATTTCTGATGATTAATCTTTTTTCTTACTAAGAACTCCTTATATAAAATTTTTACCGTATGTTTCTATGTATATATTTTAATTTTTTTGAGATTTCTGATGATTAATTGGACTGTTAATCTTTTTTCTTACTAAGAACTTCTTATAAAAAATTTTTACAGTATGTTTCTATGTATATATTTTAATTTTTTTGAGATTTCTGATGATTAATGGGACTGTTAATTTTTTTCTTACTAAGAACTCCTTATATAAAATTTTTACCGCATATTTCTATGTATATATTTTAATTTATTTGAGATTTCTGATGATTAATCTTTTTTCTTACTAAGAACTCCTTATATAAATTTTTTACCGTATGTTTCTATGTATATATTTTAATTTTTTTGATATTTCTGATGATTAATGGGACTGTTAATCTTTTTTCTTACTAAGAACTTCTTATAAAAAATTTTTACAGTATGTTTCTATGTATATATTTTAATTTTTTTGAGATTTCTGATGATTAATGGGACTGTTAATCTTTTTTCTTACTAAGAACTCCTTATATAAAATTTTTACCGTATGTTTCTATGTATATATTTTAATTTTTTTGAAATTTCTGATGATTAATGGAACTGTTAATATTTTTTCTTACTAAGAACTTCTTATATAAAATTTTTACAGTATGTTTCTATGTATATATTTTAATTTTTTTGAGATTTCTGATGATTAATGGGACTGTTAATCTTTTTTCTTACTAAGAACTCCTTATATAAAATTTTTACCGTAGGTATTTATACAATATAACTATGGATACATACAAAATTTATGTTTATTTCAAGTGCATAATGTGACAACACAGAACATTCAATTATTATTCATTATGAAATTTTCTAAAAATTCGCGTAGACAATATTATAAAGTATTCTATAAGGATGTAATTAATTATATTATATCAGGTTAAATAAAAAAATAATGTTTTAATGGTGCACGCAACAATAGTATAAACGATTATGATAGGTAGGGTATTACAATATGAAAAATGATTATTTTGAATTGAAATAATATATATAAAAAAATATCGACAATAAATATAAGTTATATAAACTGATAAAAAAAAATATATGAAGGAAGGGTTTAGTGTACTATTAGCATTCGAATGATAATTATGATTAGTAGTATTATGAACTTTTACTTAAAAAACTCTTCACAAATGATGATATAGCAATAGTTGAGGAACATAACATAGATTTTGAAATTGGCATATACCACTTCAACCGAACCCAACTACAATAAAATAACTTGGATCAACAGTAATGATATTTTTCTACTGATATCATAAAAAATATAAAACAAATAGAGTTAGATGATGGGTAAAAAAGTCACCAGTATAGTAATATAAAAAAAAGGGCTAAATGCCAGTAAATTTTTTGGAATATAAATATCTTGATATTTTTCCCAAATATTCAATAGGGCTATACAAATTTCCACAATATATGATTATTATCTCTCTTATCTTATCATCTAGTATGATATATTTTTTTTTTCTTTCGGAAACTTTTCGCCCATCATCTAACTGCATCAATACAAGATCCATATCCTGCTCTATATTTTTTATGATATCAATAAATAAATAAATGTTGGGGTGAGGATAAGGAACGTATTCCTTTAAAGCTCGATGAAAGCCTTCGACGTGGTTATTCGTCCTCACCCCTCTAACATCAAATGTGTTCCACATTTCATATTTGAACTTGGCATTACTGTTAATCCAAGTATTTTCAAAATAATTTAAAAAATCATAAATAGAACTCAATTGAAATGATTGAGCTTGGCGACTTAACTCAATCATTATAGATGGCACATCCCTTTCTAATAAAAATGGGATGGCCATTATAATACGAAAAAATTTATAAATATTAGGATTTCGTCTGCGCAGTTGGGTCAGGCGATATTCCTGAATGCGTCTTACGATGCATTGACAGAAATGGAAGTAGCAACCCTTTACAATAATTCTAGGAAAATTTTCCTTAAGGGCTAAAATACGCCAATTTTAAAATCTATTGTTGCACTTGGTGGCGAAAAAATTAAGCCTAATGATAAACAATAATTTTTTAATAAATAAAACATTCGAATATATGTATTTTTAAATTTATCTGGTAAAAGAATATACGCGCAAACAATTAAAGTATTGTTTATAATAATATTTATGGTGTAAAATTGTTTAAATAATTTAGGGGCGGCATTAAACGTGCCATCTAGATATATTTTATCTGCCCAACAAAGGCGAGATAAAAGAATACGAGTAGAAAAAATAAATAATTTATTATTATCATTACAAACTAAAAAATTATTATTATTCAAGGTAACTTTATGTTCATCAAGCAACGCTATATCAGCATTTGTGCGAGGTAACGATGGCCGCGTTGATTGAATAACGCGCGCCATAATTGTTTTTACTGACAAAAATGTCGGTAAGGTTTTAGGGTGTCGCATCGCAAAGGAATCTAATTTCCTTTTGCGCATAACTTTTTTATATACTTTATGTAAACTTAGGTATTTATTTACTTTTATTTGATTTTTAATTCATTTACTGTTAGTAAAAGTTCATAATACTCTTCATCATTATCATGACTATGTTGCTTAGTCATTGTAAAATGAGTACCTAATACACCCCTTCCTTTACAGTTATGTAAATGACATTTATAATAATGCTTAAATTATTATTAAATTTAGAAGTAATAAATTTATATGGGCACTTTTTTTTAAAAAAGTAAATCTGATTCTCTTGATAATTAGCTTTGTTTAAAAATAATGAATATAAATTATTAATAATATATTAAAGTACCTTGAATTCCTCTATCAGTAATAATTTCATTAGGTGCTGAAATTTTTATTATAATGATTGGTATGTAAAATTATATTTTACTTAAAAGAGATTCATTATCATGAAAAACAAAGTTTTCATTATCATTCAAGGCTGAGTTTTCATTAGTAGGTGCTAAAATTTTTATTATAATGATTAGTATGTAAAATTATATTTTACTTAAAAGAGATTCATTATCATGAAAAGCAAAGTTTTCATTATCATTCAAGGCTGAGTTTTCATTAATAGGTGCTGAAATTTTTATTATAATGATTAGTATGTAAAATTATATTTTACTTAAAAGAGATTCATTATCATGAAAAGCAAAGTTTTCATTATCATTCAACGCTGAGTTTTCATTAGTAGGTGCTGAAATTTTTATTATAATGATTAGTATGTAAAATTATATTTTACTTAAAAGAGATGCATTATCATGAAAAGCAGTGATTTCATTATCATTTAAGGCAGAGTTTTCATTAGCTATGTTTTAGGATTATGAATATAAATATAGATAAAAGTTTACTTTGACATTCATTTGAAATATAAATTGCCGGTCTGAGTAAATTTATCTATGGAATTTATATCTTCAGCTAAATAAATTAAAATTTTTTATATTTCTATTTATCATAAACTTTGTGTTGATGTTGATTTAAATTTTTGCAAGTAGCAATTAGGATCTTTAATACATTTAATTTATATTATTTAAAAATATTTTATCTACCAGTACACTCTTTGGATATACTAAATACATTATATTTGAGAATACCTTTCCCCTTACATGATGTTTTTGAGCATACATAGTAAGAGGTTGACTCATTATAATATTTGTGTATTCTGTAATTTGATGGTACTGGCATTTGGCTTAATTAAATGTAGTAAAGCTTCTTTTTTTATACTGTGCCAATTGAGATAAAGAGCTGCAAACAATATTTATGAATTATAATAGTAAGGCTAGTTTTACTGTAATTTGGCTTAATTAAATGTAGAAAAGCTTCTTTTTTTATACTGTGCCAATTGAGATAAAGAGCTGCAAATATTTATGGATTATTGAATTATAATAGTAAGGCTAGTTTTACTGTAATTTAGCTTAATTAAATGTAGAAAAGCTTCTTTTTTTATACTGTGCCAATTGAGATAAAGAGCTGCAAATATTTATGGATTATTGAATTATAATAGTAAGGCTAGTTTTACTGTAATTTAGCTTAATTAAATGTAGAAAAGCTTCTTTTTTTATACTGTGCCAATTGAGATAAAGAGCTGCAAACAATATTTATGAATTATAATAGTAAGGCTAGTTTTACTGTAATTTGGCTTAATTAAATGTAGAAAAGCTTTCTTTCTTTTTTTATACTGTGCCAAGCTGTAATGGAGGTCCTTTAGGAATAATAGTATCTATTATAAGATCACTATCAATACAATCAACTAAATAAAAAATATATTACCAATTCAAATGTTATATTTTACATTCATTTGTCTCCCCAATAATTTCATTAAAGATATTATTTACATCTTTTGGAATAGATCCTTCCCCCATATCTAAAGAGGATAACTGTAACCTTGGTGTTACAGTTTCTACCAGGAATAGCATATCCTGGTAGTATGGCCATGAAATATGATGGTCTGCCTGTGACCCACTCTTAAGTTTGGTCATTTTTAGTCTTTCTCTCATGAAACAATCTCTTAGATTTTTCCAAAGAGCTTTGAGAGATGAATCTAAAAAGGTTTATAAATATAATATATATGCAAAATTATTACTGTGCATATTATACTGGTGGGCTAATAATTCCCAAATATTATTCTTGTATATAATATTTTTATATAAATTATTATGTTTATTATACAAACATTCATATTCTCTGATACTATAAAAGCTGTTTTATCTATTTTCTAAAAAAATTTTTTAATTTAAATCATAATTTTAACTTGATGATTCTTTGATTTTACATCATCAAAAAATGTAACCATTGAATTCATTTCAAATAATTTAAAAATAGCGCTAAATCTTAAATTTTAAGATAAATTCACCAAAATGTGTATTTAACGAAGCAATATTTCAAAATCTTCGCGATAAACACAAAATGATTATTTCAATTTAAATATTGGACGAAGGAATTATAAAAAATAACTATGGTTGAGATTAAAACCGGTCGAAATAATTGAAAATACCTTATAGACGGGACCTACACTTTTAGATAAATCACCGAACTATATAATACCTTATAGACGAGATCTACACTTTTAGATAAATCACCGAACTATATAATCATAATCAATGAAGGAGCATGGAAGCAAAACCTTTATTAGAATCTATCAATAATTTACGGAATAGTGGTAGAATTTATACATAAGCAACTTTTTAACTTCCTTTAAAATTGGTAGCCCTAAAAAGGGCTGTTGGGTATTATTTGCTTTGGGAGCAAGATTTATTTTATCCGCCAAAACCATAAAGGGTTCGTCCTTGTCTTTTCAGGGCATAAACAACGTCCATGGCGGTGACCGTCTTCCTCTTCGCGTGTTCAGTATAAGTAACGGCGTCTCTGATAACATTTTCTAGGAAAACTTTTAGCACGCCGCGAGTTTCTTCATAAATGAGTCCAGAAATTCGTTTGACACCACCTCGTCTGGCCAATCTTCGGATAGCTGGTTTGGTTATTCCCTGGATATTATCTCTAAGAACTTTTCTATGACGTTTAGCTCCTCCTTTTCCTAAACCTTTTCCACCTTTGCCTCTACCAGTCATTTTATTAATATTATATTTTTAAAAAAACGAAGAAAAATGAATGAATAAATAAAATTTAAAAAATTCAAACTATTTATAATATAATTTATTAATAATAATAAAAATAAACATTTGGCAAAATACTATTGGATAGAAATAATTATAAAAAAAGGCGCAAAATTATTAGACGTTATTATTGGATGTTAAAAAAATACACATAATATTTTATTTTATTTAAATAAACAAAACAAAAATGGAGGGATATTGTTATTTTATTATTTTATTTTATGCATTCTTATTGGCTACTATTTAGAGACACATATATTTTTCAATTTTATTATAAATATTAAAATATATACGTTTTATATATTATAATTCAAATATTTTTTAAATTTATAAGTTTAAAATTAAAATGCCACCTAAACCAGCAGGAAAAGCCGTTAAAAAGACTCACAAACCCAAGCTCGCAAAAGGTGATAAGAAAAGGAGGAGATCTAGAAAAGAATCCTATGGTATCTACATTTACAAAGTGCTGAAGCAAGTTCATCCCGACACTGGAATATCTAGCAAAGCCATGTCCATAATGAATTCCTTCGTCAACGATTTATTCGAAAGGATTGCAGCTGAATCCTCCCGCTTGACGCATTACAACAAACGTTCAACCATTTCTAGTCGGGAGATCCAGACGGCCGTGAGACTATTGTTGCCCGGTGAGCTGGCCAAACACGCCGTGAGCGAAGGAACGAAAGCAGTCACTAAATACACTAGTTCAAAGTAGGCGTGCCCTATTTTGCGACTAACCAATACCCAACAGCCCTTTTTAGGGCTACATATTTTATTGAAGCAAACAGTTTTAGGAATCAAATTATAATATTGTACATTTTACCACCCCCCACCGAGATATTTAAAGGTTAGTTCGATATCATCTATTTTGCTTTTTAGTTTATTCCTCGCCAAAATAAAATCTCTAGAAATAATTTTATACTCCGGTCTAATGGATAAAATGACTTGAATATATTTTTAGTCCTTTTTTTTATTTTAGAAAGTCTATATTCAAAAAAGAAAATTAGCCTAAGAAATCTAGCGTGATTTGCGCAGAATTTGCTTCAGGGAAATAATTTCTGAGCTATCATCAGATAATAAATTTGTTATATTTTAGCTTTCTAAAAAAGTTGTTTATATAAATTTTGAAAGATTAGTTCTTCTACAAGTTTGAGATATTGTCTACCAATTCTTTTTAAAGTTATGTTATTTATTTGCTCCGGATATGCTTATAATACGGCCGCCTGGTTGGGACATTTAATTTTAACGTATGATTGCTAATATCATCATGGGAAATGCCAATTTTAACGATCAAGATCTAGCATATTTCGTGTAAAATTGATTGTACTTAGGTTTTATCTTTCATCTGTCACGAACTCAAATTCAATCTCTGCGATTTCTCTAATTCAAATGATAAGATTTTTAAGAAAAGGTATTTAATATAATATTAATCCACTATAACCAGACCAGATTATGTAAGCCATGACCCAAGTATACCTAAAACGAATTATTTGTTATTCGATTCGTATTTTACGAATACGAATAACACAATTATTCGAATCGAATTCGAATAAGGAAAATATATTATTCGTCGAATAATTTTTTATCTATTATTCGACTAAAATAATTTATACTATTAATATATATTGGAAAATAATCATATATTATTATTAGGAATTATTTCAATTTAATAAAATCTCCTAGTGGAATAATGAAAATTGCGCCAAATTTTGAAACTCCATTTTAATTTATCTCATAATAGACCATTACTTTAGAAATTTCTTTTATGATAGAGGTCGACGAAGAAGGTAATTTATATAACACATAACATATACAATTATAATAAACTGTTAATCCCATCACATCAAGAATAACGGGCAAACCTGATATTTCTCTTTCATTTGATGATGGAAAAATCATAAATTTGACTTTTTGCCTAAAGTTTTTACCACTTTATTTGTAAAATATTGCTAATGCCGTGTTATCTAAAATGGCGAGGGACATATTGTCGATACAGGGATCTTCAACCCATGTGAGCGACTCTTTTTTTCTGTTGGAGCTCGTATGGTTACAAAATACAGAATGTCGTTATAGGAGGAAACAATCCGAAAAACTTTATGTTTGAAAAATTGGCTGTTGTCAGATTTATCTTCTACATTATAGATATGAATATTATATTGATTTTTCCACATTGTATATAAATATATTATATATGTATGCTTCTATTTTGTCTCGCTAATAAAATTTGTTTGTCTTTATCCTTAGTTAAATTTTATAATAGATCTTTTTTAATTCATGGTAAATAAAATTTTCGAATCGAATAATCATTTTATTATTCATACGAATACGAATAATAAATTATTCGATTCGTATTTTTGTAGGTAACCCAAGCATAAGTGTTGTTAATATTCAACTTAATGTACCCACCTATCTAACATTGGATCTCCATTTTAAAAATATGTAAAATTATTAGAAAGAATTCCGTCTTATAAGATATCCCATTTTTTTCTTAAAAATAGCTGCACAGTTTGGAGGATATCCATATTTATTCCACCATTGAGGTTAAAATATTTGAGTTGAGACACTGTGTACCCTTAGTTTTCTTTATTGATGTAAAAATGATTCATATTGCAGCCAATGAATTTCAAATTAGATTAACAATCTTGAGTGAAAATTTACATAAATTATAGGATTTTGGTGGTTGATGTGAAATTAAAAACTGGAAATTAATTACAATAAACTGTCCATATTTTTCTTAAAAAATATAGATCCGAATGGCGTTCCTTTCCTTCAAAAAAAAAGGTAACGAAGTTACTTTACAGCCCTGATTAGAGGTCTGAATTGGGTGGGTCGAAAATTTTTAATGGGCGGTTTGAAATAAATTTTTGATATTTTTCAGGCGAAGCGAGCAGAACGGACTTGAATTTATTAAAAATAATAGTTTTGTTCCGTAATATTACACATTATGTTTAATTAAAAAATAGATTTAAAATAAAGAAATAGCCAGGCCAGCCATTTAAAAGATTTCTTAAACATTAGGCTAGTGGAACAACATTTATAGAAAAGGGGGAGATGGGCGGGTGGTTAAATATTCAAAACGAGTGGGCAAACTTTGTGGCTAAGACCCGCTAATTGCAGACCTCTAGTCCGAATTTTTCTTTAGATTAATATATTTTTTGTATACGAGTCAATTTTTTTTTATTTGATTGAAATGACATTTAAGCAGGGATCCAAACCGAACCTGACCGTTAAACCGCTAAAAACCGGTATTTTTATTGAATCTGAACCGAACCTAAACCGCTAAAAAAAATTCTAGCCGAACCTGAACCGTTATTTTTATCCGATATTCGTTTCGGTTAGGATCCCTGCATTTAAGAGAACAAGGAAATTGGCTTTGGGTACTGTAAATTTTTTAATGATTTTATTTGCTTAATGAATGCATGAACAGGTAAATGCCTGTCATGCGCAAAGAACATAAATCTTTTTCCCTTAATCATCTCAAATAGCCACACAAGGTTAAAAATATTTTAATCGGCCTTCCATATGGGCGAGATAAAAAAAATAAAACCAGTAGGGTTTAGCTTTTTAAACTATAACTTGCTCAAATTTATCAAGATTAAATATATTTCGCTAAGCGGTTAATCAAGAATACTCAAAAAAAACTTTATTAGAATGAAGCACTACATTTATTGGTTATGTTAATTATTACACTTTAAAAGCTGTTTAGCATCCATAAATTTTTGGTGGCCCTAAAAAGGGCCGTTGGGTATTTAATCATTTAAGATTTAAGCGGAGGTTTCGGACTTTTTCGGCAACAAGATACTTTGAATATTGGGCAACACTCCACCCTGGGCAATCGTTACGCCGCATAGGAGTTTGTTCAATTCTTCGTCGTTCCTGATAGCTAGTTGCAAGTGTCTAGGTATGATCCTCGTCTTTTTGTTGTCTCTTGCCGCATTTCCTGCCAGTTCCAAAACTTCGGCAGCTAAATATTCCATCACAGCTGCGAGATATACGGGGGCTCCAGCACCGACTCTTTTAGCGTAATGTCCTTTTCTCAGTAGCCTATGAATTCTTCCAACGGGGAATTGAAGTCCAGCACGGCTCGATCTAGTCTTTGCTTTGCTCTTTATTTTTCCACCTTTTCCTCGGCCAGTCATTTTATATTAATTTAATTTTTTAAAAAGGAAGGATAAAAAAAATTTATAATAATAAAAATTAATAATTTCCTTGCATTTATAGAAATTAGTATGTGTCTTTTTAATAAGCCAATCAGGTGAGAATATAAAAAAACAAATAAATAAAAACGCGCCTAAAATTTATTTACTCTCTTTTATAAAAAAAAAATAATAAAAATATTTTAAAAGAAATGGCGCAAAAATAAAAATTTTATGTGTACATTTTTAAATATTGTGTTTCTGTGTTAGTTTAAAATAATTTTTGGCGCTAAAAATGTTATTTTTTTTAAAAAGGCGCAAAAATGAAATAAATTATGTGTATATTTTAAAAATGTGTGTTTCTGTTGTTTTAATTTTAAAAAAGGCGCAAATGTATGAATTATTCTTCTCTCTTCACTAAGAGCTTTGCGAAGGTCGGAAACCGGTCTTAAAACCGGAATTCAAATAAAAACCATACCAAATACCGATATCGAAGGATGGGATAATTTTAGTGTTGCGGAACTTCCGTTCGACCATTTTTTTAAATGTTTTTAAAATGGGGAATTTCTTAAAATTATTAGTTTCTTCTGCTAGTAAAGTAAGTTTTTTTTTAAAAAAACCCAGGTCAAATTTTTAGTACTAATCTATCCCCCCCCTCCTACTTTCTCATTGAAATCAGGAAGAAGAAAAAAAGTATTTTCAGAATGGTACCATTTAAATTCATGAATTTTTTCTGGTGTCGTTGGTAATCCAAAGCTATAAAATTAGCCCTAAAGCTGTTGGCGATAAAAGTGAAATTTTTTTACAAAATGCAGAAAATATTTATAAATCACAACCGTGTTGTAGAACAGCTGAATTAGCATTTGTAGTGACTTCTGGAATAAAATGAAGCCTGATTTCAAATTTTTATTTCACATATCCCAAAATTAGAATAAATGCTAAGTCACTGAAACTAGGCGAAATTTTTGGTTATATCTTTTTTTTTTAAATTGGTGTAAATTTTTCCATGTAAATTTAATGTATAAGGTAATATTTTTTTAAATTTAACAAATATTTTTTTCCCCTTTTTATTGGATTACATAAATTTTACCGAGATCATAATTTCGTATACAAGAACCATGGCTTTCTTTAAAATGAGTTTCCTATTAATCATAATCACACGTGCTGTTATATAATAGCCTCAACATCTTATAGAGTAAGATGTTGAAAATGAATCTTTCCTGTAAACAAATGTATTCATCTATTACATCTTTTAGTGTCCAGGATTTTTATAAGTGATTGTCTTCGTTTAATAGGGTTGGCTTGGCAACAAAGTAATCTATAAAATTTGTGTATAAGCTTTTTTTAGGTATAAAATATTTAGAAAAATCTGCTGCAATACACAGGCAATATCTTTTGAAAAAAATAGGGGGCCCTGGGCATATTATGTGATCGAAATAGATGAATCTAATAAAAGGAAAAATATCTCAGGGATTTAAAATAAAATGCCATTTGGGTTGCCAGATATTCTTCACTTGAAAAAGTTAGTTTTTCTTTTATAATAATTAATGGGTTGGTTAGTTGGACTATATTAACAAATACTACAATTTTTTTTAATATTTTAAAATAAAATTATATTTGTTTTTAAAAATATTTTAAAAATATTTTGAAAAAATATAAACGTGAGAAAAAGTGTGATTATTTTAATTTACTCAAAAAACGTGAGAAATGCGTGAAGTGTGAGAAAACGTGGGTAGGTAAAAAATTAGGTATGAAGTGAGAATCAAGGCTAAATCGTGACATCTGGCAACCCTGGTTGCAATTGGGACTATTGATTTTAATCGGGCCTAATTTTTCCGAAATTATTACCGGCCTGGCCCAGCCCGAATTTATTTAAATATAGAAATTAATTCTTATAATTACTAAAAATAAATTCCATGTTATATGGCGTCTACTCTTCTATAAATAAAATCAAATATTTTTATCTTACATTCCAAATTCTAAAGAAAATTGATTAATTTAGATATATTATAAAAAAGAATTCCAAAGCGACCCGAAAGTCTTAAAAAATATTAGGCCCGGCCCAACCCGAACCCGAATAATTTAAAAAAAAATAAACCCGGCCCTAAAGTCGGTAAGGAATGATAAAACAGAAAAAAGAAACCCTTCCTGTTATAATCAGTAAGCACATCCAAACTGATTCAACTAACGATGGACAAATTAAATATTGATAAATCTTGAAAAATGGATAATGCTCGGTCAAACACAGCAGAAACAATGATATATAGATAGACCTATATTCAATCTGTTGAGCGTTTATGGATGGATTTTAAAGAGGGCATCTAGAAGCTGGAAGAAAATCTTCTACTCATTTATATATATGTGAATATTCTTATTTTCGTAATATTAAGAGTATGTCAAATTTAAGTAAATTAATTAAATGATATAAATTTATACAGAAAATTTCCTTAAAATTATATGAATTCCGGGAAAATAAAAATATTTTTATTTGGATTATATTAATAGTATTTTTAGAAAAAAATATAATATTAATAAGCTAAATTTTTGGCCCTAATTCATTATTAGATTACTCATATACCCTCCATAAAAAATGCTCACTCTAACAAGATAAAATTCTGACGTTCAAATTGATACTGGCAGTGACTTACCTATTTTATTTCCAATTTTAAGAGCAAATCAATTGGCCAAGTGAAAAATACAAATGTACAAAACTGACCAAAGTGCATTTTTAGCTTCTAGTGAGAAGGAAGACGTTCATCAACAACCATTCCATTCTTACATTTATCCTTAAATTATAAAGAAAAATATTTATAAGTTGATCTCAAAGGTGGGAGAGTTAGTAAATGCCATTAAAAATTCCCAAAAGTCAATTACATTCGTATAAAAATGAATATTTTTTGGTTAGAGCCTTGGAAATTTATGCAAAAATTCTTAATGGGCGGAGGTTTCTGATCGATTATAAAATAGTAAAATCAACCAATGATTCATAAAACTATTTGCTTCAATAAAATATGTAGCCCTAAAAAGGGCTGTTGGGTATTGGTTAGTCGCAAAATAGGGCAAGCCTACTTTGAACTAGTGTATTTAGTGACTGCTTTCGTTCCTTCGCTCACGGCATGTTTAGCTAACTCTCCAGGCAATAACAGTCTCACGGCCGTCTGGATCTCCCGACTAGAAATGGTTGAACGTTTGTTGTAATGCGTCAAACGGGAAGATTCGGCAGCAATCCTTTCGAATAAATCGTTGACGAAGGAATTCATTATGGACATGGCTTTGCTAGATATTCCAGTGTCGGGGTGAACTTGCTTCAACACTTTGTAAATGTAGATACCATATGATTCTTTTCTAGATCTCCTCTTTTTCTTATCACCTTTTGCGAGCTTGGGTTTGTGAGTCTTTTTAACGGCTTTTCCTGCTGGTTTAGGTGGCATTTCAATTTTAAACTTATAAATTTAAAAATATTTGAATTATGAAAAATAAAACCGATATGTTTTAATATTTATAATAAAATTTAAAAATAAATGTGTCTTTAAATAGTAGCCAATAAGAATACATAAAATAAAATATATATAAAATAACAATTTCCCTCCATTTTTTGTTTTGTTTATTTAAATAAAATAAAATATTATGTGTATTTATGTAACATCCAATAATAACGTCCAATAATTTTACGCCTTTTTTTTATAATTATTTTTATCCAATAGAATTTTGCCAAATTTCCCTCCATAAATTTGCCGTTTATTTTTTTTATTATTATTAATAAATTTATAATATAAAAAGTTTGAATTTTTTTTAATTTTATTTATTAATTCATTTTTTCAAGTTTTTTTAAAAATATTATATAAAATAAAATGACTGGTAGAGGCAAAGGTGGAAAAGGCTTAGGAAAGGGAGGAGCTAAACGTCATAGAAAAGTTCTTAGAGATAATATCCAGGGAATAACCAAACCAGCTATCCGAAGACTGGCTAGACGAGGTGGTGTCAAACGAATTTCCGGGCTCATTTACGAAGAAACTCGCGGCGTGCTAAAAGTTTTCCTAGAAAATGTTATCAGAGACGCTGTTACTTACACTGAACACGCGAAGAGGAAGACGGTCACCGCCATGGACGTTGTTTACGCCTTGAAAAGACAAGGACGAACCCTTTATGGTTTCGGCGGATAAGAATAAATCTTGCTCCCAATGCAAATAATACCCAACAGCCCTTTTTAGGGCTACCAATTTTAAAGGAAGTTAAAAAGTTGCTTATGTATAAATTTTACCACTATTCTGTAAATTGTTGATAGATTCTAATAAAGGTTTACCCTGTATGCTCCTTTATACTGTTCGGTAATTAATCTAGTTAAACTTACGTTTGGTCTCTGGTTCCCTTATAAGATATTTTCAATCTTTTTGACGTGGTTATTTTTGAATTGAATGAGTTGGTCTTTTATTTTATGTAAAATGCGATTCACAATATAGAAAAATAATTTAAAGTTTTTAAATAATTGTAATTTTTTAAAAAATACTTTAAATTTCATTATAAAATATGTTTTTATCTGCCCAATGTTTGAATCTTTTACCCCACCTCTAGAATGGTTGGATTTGCGGTCATCTATATACCGACTTGCATAGTTGACTGAACAATTGGAATCAGTAATTCCTGAATCTAAACCCATTTTTCTTATTAGTAAATCAACAAATATTTTTTACATAATTTTAAGACCCTATATATATGTATTAGAGATCCAATTTTTGTGTATGTTTATATTTAAAAAATCTTTTCGGCTTGGGGTCTCGTCTAATCATTTTTGAAAAAAAATTGGATAGCCCTTAAATTTTTTAACTATTGTTATAGATATCATTGAATTTTGTCAAGTAAATTGGTATATTTTAGATACAATCAAAAAATTAAATTCTAGCGGGTCGGGCTTTTCGAGATAAAGAAAATTCGAGCCGGTCTTGAAGATTCAGGGCCTATACAGTTCACGATTATATCTGAAATATTCTAGGAAAACTCCCATCGCAAGTAAGAGAAAATCTATTCGTACTATTTGTAAGTTTTTCCCTTTAAATTTGCACAAAAATCTGCATACACTATAAAAATGGCATCTGCCAGATCCATCTAATGCATCATGCTCTTATGAATGCGATTTTTATAATTAAATTTTATTTAACATAATATATTGGTAATTCGATGAAGATTTATGATTATTTTATAATAATTTGGTCTAAAGCTAAATTGATTATTAAATTATATACAGCAATTTTAGAGAAAAGTGAATAGTATTTATAAGAGTCGTTTAGTTTAGGTATCAAGAAAAAGAAATGTTTACCTTAATATATGATGGGTAGTTATATCTACCGCTGATTAACAAATTAAGATATATTTTTAATAATATGTATCAAGATTTAACTAAAAGCAAAAATATAAATTTGTTATTTTTTTTGATCTAAAATTCTTAAGAACATTTAAAATGAATAATTCTATAGGGCTAGCCCAGGCCAAAATTTTGATGTATTTTTATAAAAAATTATTGAATTTTTTTTATTTATGATAAGATCCTATTATAAATCCAGAATACAAATATCTAAAATAATCAATATGTAAAATGGTTAGGAAAAAAATATAGGTAATAATGTGATTGACGGAAATTCCGGGACTGATTAACGGTCCAAGTCTGACATTTCTTAGAGCTGTAATAGACCGTGCTTTGCAAGTATTCAGGGCTCTAGCATGGTTACTTTTAAATTTGGCATCTGTAGCAATAAAAAAGCAGTCAATTAGATGTTATGGCATCTTCGGAATGTGATAGTTAAATAAGATTAATTAGTTATAGATTATGACCCAAATATATTTTAGAAAACCTCAAAATGTCAAAACTTTTGTAATTTTGTAAATTTATTGAAATACGTCAGAAATCTTCCATTAAAACACCTTTTAAAAGTTTCGTAAATTTCTAATTCCTACTATTTTAATATTTACCATTTAATTTAAATCTTTTCCATTTTGATTAATATAGCTGCTACACGCGATCCTGTTAATGAATTTCTATCCCGCGAAGACGCGACTCAATGTCCGGAGAAAAAATAAAAAATCCCGCCTCGCTAAATAGTCATAAATCTTAAGATTTTATCTCTAGTTGATTTCAGGGCCCCGGAGTTAACCGGAATGAACCTCTAAACTTTTATAAATATCTGAACCGAACCAATCTAACTTGTTTTTGATGGAGTAAAAAAAACGTTTATAAAAATTTAAACCGGTTTCAAAGTTAATATAATAATTACCATATATGCTTCGTTATTTATAATTATTAAATTATCAAAATATTTGTTTAATATCCAAAGAAGTATGTATAGGGCTGTAGTTATGGGGGAGTCCCGGAGTATCGCCCCTCCTCCAATTTTTTTGGCCCCCAAACCTGGCCCTCAAAAATTTTTACGGTCCCCCAAATTTTAAAAAAAAACTGGACTGCTAAAACATGAAATCTCAAAAGCTCATTTAAATTCAATAACAATTTGCCATGATAAAAATTTTAACACAGATAAGGATACTGAAACAACAACAATTTTGGTAAGCCAGCAAATTAACCTTAATCGTTATTATCTTAGATCAATATTTGATTTTATGCTACTTCAAACAAAATTGTGAAAATTAATACCCAAAATAATTCCCAATATACATCACCCCAAATTCGAACGAAGTAATATCTATTATGGCAGATATGGTAATAGATAAATATAACAAGAGTGAGTGTCTTTCTATTGTCTTAAGGCCGATAAGGCAAAAGATGCATCATATTGTGAAAACTTGAGCAATATTATTCGTTATATTTTTTTTCTGAAGAAATCCAAGAAAATTTAATAAGAATTATTAATTTACAGTGTCTTTTTAAAACAACTTAATGAGTTAAATATTAATTCAATGAATAAAATAAGCCAGGCATATAATAATGCAAACGTCATGTCTGATGGAAATGGAGAAGTGCAAATCCTACTTCAAAAAATAATTAATAAAAATGTTCCTTTTATACATTGCTAAAACCACAAGTTGCATCTTATTGTTCAAAATTGATATAATACTGTTATCATTTCTAATTTTTTTATAATTTTACTAATGCATTGTAATTTTTTAGACATTTTAACGTATCCCGTAAATATAAAGGTCATGCTCTTTAGAGACTTTTAGACCAGAGATGGACTGGTCATTTAGAAACATCTAGAACTCTTAACTCAAAGTACTCAGGATTCAGTCGAAGCCTTTGGCTATTATCTCAATACGTTATTTTAATTATGTTATATTCGCCATTATTAGATATTAATACCAATAGATACATTAAATAAGCATCTATAGTCAATAGCCACTATTGATTCCACGGTCAATAAAAAAATAAAAGAAGCGGAAGTTCTTTAGATTTGATTAGAATTAAGGCTGAAAAACTTTCAACAACTAGTTAGCCAGATTAATGGAACTCTATTATAACATATTCAAATTTTTTCTTTCTACATCACTTCCAACACCATCTACCCATTAGTAGTTTGATAGAATGATCATTATTCCCATATAAATTTAAAAATAACCAAATTTATTATATTTTAATTTTATAAACTATTAATAGAATTTTAGAATTTGAGCTTTAAAGCATCAGTAGTTATTAGGTTATTATGAAAAATTGATTTTGTGTTATCTTGAAATTTTGTCAATTTTATACTATTTTTTAGGTGTGACGGATTATAAATTTTTAAACAAATAATATCCAAATGATGTGGCTTTACAAATTGTTGTTGAATTCTAATTAGTTGATCATTATCATAATTTCAACTTTAAATATTTTTTTAATATTTGTCCCTCATAGTATTAGAGTCTGCATTTCTAAATACAATTTATTATAGTCGAAAGTTAATTAATCTAAGAAATAATTAATTTTTACATATTAGAAATCAAAAAATTTTTGAACAATCAGAATTATATTAACTTGCTCTTATATTACTTGTGTCCCCCACAACACAAATTTGTTTTGAAAGGGCCTTTTATTGGCTAAAATTTGTGTTATTAAGCATCGACCAATTATGAATCCACTTATATTGAAAATGTATAATTTAATCGTTCAAATAATATATATAAAAATGAGTTATGATTTTTATTGTTTTTTTATATATAGTATTTAAATTTATAGATACTTAATAAAAAAAATTAATTATTTTCATCTATTTTAAAAATAAACAATATATTAATTTATGCGAAGGCAAAATTTTAATGAATAATATTTATAATTAAAATAACTAGTTGAAAGCCCGTCAAAAATGACGGGGAATGAGATTTTTATTCATTTTTTACGATAGATGTCATGCCAGGTTCAAGCTCACAATATTAGGAAGCATCCAAGATCTTATAATTTTAAAAAAGTTTATCAAGCTCAACTCAACCCTTAATAATTTGATTTTGAGGTTCCAAGCCCAGTCCTGCCCATTAAAAAATTTTTCCCACCTCGGAAATAGTTAAATTTTTAATATCATCACGTGAACAGGAAATATCTGATTTACCAATTAGTCTAATAAAAAACATATAAATTCCGTATTAAGGGAAACCGGGAAGGCCTGGGCAACCACTTATTAGATAATCATGACAAATAAAATAAAAATAACCGACTCTTATACTTTTTTGTAATATGATCAATTAAAATTATATATAAAAAATAAATTGTAGTTTATCATATAGGGTTATTGTTGTTTTTTAGATAAATTTAATGTATGTATTGCATTTCCGAAATTATTTGTCAAAGAATTTAATAAGGGATATATATATTTTTATGTTAAGTAAGAAAAAAAATGCTATTTATACAAATTACAAAAATGCCATTAAACTATTTATATACTTTTTAAGATATTTTTTTTATTGACATATAAATTTAGGATATTTTTTAAAAAATAATGAGGATTATTTATTATGTATTTGATAAAATTAAGAGCAAATCCTTGTTGACATTTTAATTTTTGATGAAAAAAGCGTAAAAATAAATCTTGGCGGTCGTCTGGAGAGGAAATAATTTAATGTATAATTTTATATCATTTAGGGTTGTAGATGAAGGTAATGACGGATTAACAAAGCAGTGTACAAAACACATTACGTCCTGATAAAGATGATATGCCTAGGCCTTGGGATACTGGTAAAAGAAGAACGCAAAGCGATATTTCTGTCAATGTCAGCATTGGTATCCCCCTTTAAAATAGAATCATGAACGACAATGTTAACTCAACCATTAAAACGGTAGTAAGTATTGTTATAAAGGCCACAACAGAACTACCATATTTTTCCATTAATAAAGTTGATGAAATTGGTCGTACTTTACATTCAAATTTGAACATTCCTCTAAATATTCATGAAAGTTTCTCAGAGAATAGGAGAAAGTAAAATTTATATTAACTCCTAGTGAAGTGAATGATTGTACGGAATTAAATGCTTATATTTGTTAAAAAATAGGCGGAGGTGGCATAAGGATTGTGGTAGTGGTGATAGAAATATCATTTGGAGAACTGGGTGTAAATAAAATAAACATAGATATAAAACATAAGATAAAAAAAACAAAATAAACCTCCAGATGAGTTCATTTCAAGCGTAGTTCTTTATTAATTTGTCTACCAGTAACTCTGGAACGGGTAAGGCGTTTTTTTAATCGTCATTATTTTCTTTGTTTATCTTTAATAATAGATTCATCATGTTTCATAGCAATGTGAGGGATTAGGGTTAGCCTGGACAAATAAAGAAATAGGCAAAGATATAAATAAACTATTGTTAATATTTAAAGAAATCAGGCAAAAATATAAATAAACTATTGTTGAAATTAAACAAACATTAAAATAATGTAAACCAGTAGATGGGTCAATATTAGATGCTTATTTCTAACAGTTGTAGGTCAATCGTCAAAAAATTTTTTTGGGGGAATCAAGCCTATTATGTATGATATTCATAAGGTTTTTGTTTATTATTTTTGTTAAAAAAGGTAGGATCCTTAAGAATAAATATATAATTTAATTTAATTGAATAAAAATAAATATTGTAATTATATATTGATATTTTGGAATAATCCCTATATAAAATTATTTATAATATAAATAATGTACTCTGTATATTTTTTTGAGCATTACACAAAATATTCAGCAGGGATAATAGAGCAATGGTGGATCCGACAAAATGGTAAGCTTTTAAAAAAGTAGGATCCTTAAAAATTGTTATATTAATTTAGTTAAATATTAAAAATGTACTTTGTATATTTTTCAGTTAGTTAGACAAAATATTCATAAGAGATAAAAGGGCATATTGTGCGGCCCGACAAAATGGATAGCTTTAAAAATACATAGGAGGATGCTTAAATAATATAAATTTGTTTAAATTATAAAATAATATCATACTAAGTAAATTCTAACAATTTATTTTTTATAATGCTTAATGATTTTTATTCTTTTTTTGTATTATGATCAAGGTTATAATTATATTTTGATTTTATAGCTTTTATAAAAATAAATTAGACTGTTGGTAGGCTTATCTGTTTGTATAAAATAAATAAATAAAATCAACAAATAAAAAAAATAAAAATAAATATGACGTAGCGAACATCACGTCACGATGACGTAGTGAGAACATCGGAAAATTATAATATAGACTATTCTATGGTTTTGCTTCAATATAATTTTCGATTATGAATAAACCTTTACAATTAACTGAACCTAATCGAAACTTTATAAAATATTTCTTTAGAACCGTAACTGGAACGTAACCATTTTCTGCATACTGTACCATAACCAAACTGAAGCGTTATAAATGGGTCTCTGGTGGCGATGAGAAAATAAGGTGCAAAATATTCAAATTAATGGAAGTAAAACGATTACTGAGTTTATATAATATATCGATGAAGATATTCATAATGAAAAATTATCAAAAAATTCTTAACACTCTGGATACTTTATCCTGTAGTACTATCGAGTGTAAAAAGGGTTTTAAAGATTTAATTTTGATCAAGTAGATAAATGAACAAGTGAGTTAATAACTTTTCAAAGTTAGTGTTCATAAATATTATTAGGCTTTCGATATAATAAGATTCAAGATTTATGTTTTAAAATTTTAAAAAGGAATCATCGCGGGACAATGAAATCTTATCAAAATAAAAATACCGCCATAAAGAAACAAATGGAAATTTATTATTTCATATCTATATATTTTAACTTATACACTCTTCTCTCCATGCCTATAATAATCAGTAAAACAATAATTTAGCCGATAATTTAAATATATATATACGTTTCATAAACGTAATGTTTTTATTATTCTACTGAACTCTCTAGATGTTTTAAAACATTTTTGGTATATATTTCTTATTGTTCTGATCTAGGTTATATTAAACACATGTTTTAATAGAAAAGGACTTGGGATTATTTTAATAAAAGTTTATATTTTCCTCATGTAGAATTTATAAATCAACTATCTGATATCGATCATATGATTTTGTTATTTTTCATATAATTGAATGAAAATTTCTTTGTCTTACTGCAATATGAAACCTTAGATCTGATTATGTATTGATTGCATTTAAATAAGTGCATGAATCATTTTTCGCGAAACAAAATTGATGTAAGATTTAAACATTATTCATTAAAAAATAACCTAAAATTAGATTATTATTATCTTAATTTGATTAATTTTTGAATATATTTATTTTAATTCTTACTAGGTTTACTATATTTCTAACATTACTATTAATATGATAGGAAGGGTTATTAATTTTTTATGCTAAATTAAAATAAAATAGATGAATTGATATTGATTAAACTAATAAATTAAAATATTTTATACATACTTTAATTTGATTTATTTTTATAAAAATTAAATTTTTGTTATCTACATTTTTTTAAGTTAAACATTATCTCAAAAATGTTAATTTATTTTGTATAACATTTGCCAATAATTCTTATATAGAGTTAAGGTGCTCTAAAAAGCTATTGAATGGGAGATTATATCTTATATATTAATAATATAAGGGAATTAGAGATATGATTGAAAGGCCAATATTAGTGTATACTTTCCTACCAAAAATTGCAATGACCCCCCCCCCCCCATATATTTAAAAGAAATTAAATTTACCCATTTTAAGCCATTAATTAATTTAAAAAAACAGTGATCTACAAATTTCTAAACCATTAAGGGAATAAGTAAGAAGATGTTTTTTAAGTTTTAATTTATTTGATTTTTACAAATTTACTATATTCATTATAAATTACATATATAAAAATAAGATAATATTAATCAATTATATCTTAACTTTTTCTTCTTCTATATACATTTATATTTTTATAATATTTTATTTTGGTATTGATATCGGTAGTATCAGCTGACATCACATTGATATTGTTGGTGTCAATAATTGCCAAAAAAGTTGTATGTGTGTATCTCTCAATTAAATCGTCGTATAAGCTTAATCAGGACCTCCCCCCCCCATAATATTTTATTTTGAACCTTGAGCTAATTCTTACAATGCGCTGACTGGCTTACATTATATATTTGATTCTAACTATATAATTAGCGTATTGTATTTTTTATAAAAAAATTTAAAATGATAATTATTTTTTAAGTAATTTTACACTTTACTTTACTTGCTACTATTATAATAAAGAATTCAAGACTCCTTTAATAATATTATAATTAAATTAAACCCCCTCACATATACTGCAGTTAAAAATTCTGAAATCACTATTTCCCAATCTCATAGGATTTTCCATCCTAAAGATCTTCATTCTTTTCATTGAAAATAATGATGATTTATTTTTATTTATTCTTACAGAAGGCAGATTGGGGATTAAGTGTAGCATTTTCCATGCAGATTTTGCCAAGGAGCCTCCCACTTTGCCATGCTCATTGTTCTTTGTTATCTTCTTCTTTTTAAAAAAAAAAAAACTTAAGTTAACAAAGAAAGGAACAATAATTTTTTCAATTTTAAAATCTCAATTGCTTAATTATAATTGTACACAAAAACGGAATTTTTACATCATACATTTTCTAATATCGAAATTTCGATAACAGATTATTTTAAAAAAAGTTAAAAATCTATAATAGTGCTCACAAATTGAACATTTCAACGCTGCGTTTCAAAACGCAAATAATGCATTTTAATTGCATTCGTTTAAATTGAGTACGTTTGCGTTTTGTATTTTAAAATATTGATTTGCGTTTTAAAACGCTGCGTTGAAACGTTCAATTCGGAAAAAATTTGATTTAGAAAGTCTTTCAAAGCATTTACAAATTGCATTTTAAAAACAACTTAGTGGTTTAAAGATTAATTTATCTGATATAATAAGCCAGAGGCGTGTGATGGTGCAAATTAGAGATCTACAAAGTTAGGCCCGAATCCGCCCCGGCCCAAACGGGCTTCGGGCCGGGCTCGAGCCTAATCTTACTAAAAATCGAGTTCGGGCCGGGTCGGGCTTAAAAAATTAGGCACGATGCAGATCACTAGTGCAAATGTCATGTCTGGTCGAAATAGAGGAGTACGAATAATGATCCAATTTTTTTTTTCATAATTAAAACGGTGCTTCGTATACATTGATTTGCATCTTGTTAATAATTGGTATAACAATATTCCTAGCCTTTATGCAGATCGTACTCTTAAGAGACTTTTAGTTTAGAGTGGGAACATCTATCATTTATAAGAATTTTAAGCTTATTCGAATTTACAAATTTTCAATTAAGAATAGTTAAAGAACTATACTCTAGTGTCTGACTGCTTGTTTTACTTCAAAAAAAAAAATAGTGCCCCCCCCCCCCACAAAGAATTTGCATGGTGGTTAATTTACATTTTGCTGGAAAATTTTCTTAGAGAAATTATTATCTTATATTTTGTTTTATTTCCTAGGATATCGTTTTTCTAAAAAGAAACGAAGTGGATAAAAATGGTCAATTCTTTTCATATCATATCGATTAATGCTCAAATATGATATTCTAAAAAAAAAAAAATAATCCTAAATAGAAAATCTAGCCTGGGGCGTGTCTGCACCCGCAAACAAATCAGAGGGGGTTAAAACTAAAATAAAACTTATTTCTTAACCCTCTCTTCTCTATCGACCCAATAATTTTTTTTTCCTGCACACCTTGAGAAGTGATATTTCCACAATTCAATTTTTAACCGATAAATCTTAATGCCACGTCATAAATCTTAGTTCAAATTTTTTTTTAAAGCAAATCGATTTTTTTTTTTCTTCTAAAAAAATTTTTTTTTAAACTCCCGGGGTTCAATTTTTTTAACGTAAGTACCTCGAGTTCGTTATTAATTATTATTTTTTTTATATATAAAACGATTTACGATATTAAATAAATCAATCAATTTTTTGATTGGCTTAATTCGCTTTCTAGGAAATGACGTGCTAAGCGTTTTTCTAATTCTAGAACGGAGCCTTAATTTTCACCCACTTTGATAGTTATTACGATTTGTGTGTAATGGTGGCTTGAACGTCTTTTCACGCAATTCTGATCACCTATTTTTTTGATAAGTTGAGTGTTGTCTATCAAAACTTATGCACTAAAATCGATTAACGTTTTATTTTTTGAGTACTATAATATAAAAATAATTTATTTAATCTATTTAAAAGGAAAAAAAAAGTTCTGAGGACAAAGGGAGAGGGGGGGGGGGTAAGAAAAAATAAATTTAATGATATAGTGCCCCCTTTGAAAAATTAAACTATCCAAAAGATTAGTTTGCAAATTTTTATATTGCAGAGCAAGGTAGTATCTCTTTAAATAGAGGTGATATGCCCCTGGTTAAATAATAATTATAGCTAGTTACTATAACAGTTACATTTTTTTTGTATTTTAACGATACAAAAGAAATGAAATATGTATATGAAAAAATAAATCAGTTTTATGAAATTACCCTGTATTCACAGCATGCTGGAAAATACATTCCTGCTAAAATAAAATTAATTAAAGATCGCATTCGGTAAGGGATTTAAATTTGATAGACTCTGGATCGCCGTAAGTCCATATCCCATATGTATAAAAAAATATATTAGTTCTAAAAAAAGTTTCTAATTGATGTGACTAAAAAAAGGCTAAATATATAACTTGAAAAAATGGTATGGGGTTCATCTAAGATAGGGTAGTGTATCCTCCGGAAGTTTGATCAACAGATTTCTATAGTAACTGCAACTAGTTACTTGTTAAGGATAAACCAGTAACTGTAATTGCTTTTCTAAAGTAGCTTCAAGGAATACTGAAGAAAAATTTCATAGTTTTTAAAATAACTGTCTTTAGGCCCGGAGTGACCCTTACAAGAATAAAAATATATATTTCACCGCGTCATCTGCTGACGGATTAATGCGATTTTTTTTTAGCTTCGAATTTGAAGAGCTGGCTGGTCGGTATTTTTTTTCTTTCCCTTTCTTCCATCATTCCCCTCCCTCTATAAGCGTGGTTATTTAAATTCTCACGGGGTCCGTTAGGCCTCACTTATAGTAGCCAGCCATCATAAATAACGCGCACCGCTGCACGCAGCTTAAGTTACATAATACGTAATGCTAAATTATGCAACTATGATATCCTTTAGCCATAGACATCTCCTCGCCCTAAAGCCGTCATAGCGGGTACTATAAACGAAGCCTTAGTTTCTTTATGAAATGATTATATATAATGCCAACAGATATAGTTTTTATTATTTATCCTTATCACGCCGCCATCACCATCCGCGTTTATTACCGGTCGCGTCTTATGACCAGAGAATCAAAGTGACCTCAAATTTGGCGTTAATTAAAACAGAGTATAAAGAGAGATGATAGAAGTGCATTATTTACCCTGGGTCGTGTGCCGCACTGCAGGGCTTCGAAATAACCATGCATTCATTATTGATTCCTTCAATATTCAAAAATACGGAAATGGAATTTGTCAAATCATACCTCGATATGGATAATACGAATTTAATTAAAAATGACACGAACAAGATTTGAAAATCATAAAAGGATAAACTGCCAATTCATAAAAATTAATATCCCTTACAAATTACTTCTTACTAAGGTGTATTTCGCCTTCTCAAATTTATCACGATTTCCACCGAGCCGGGCCGGGTCGGGCCTAATTTTTTTTAATAAAATTCGGGCCGGTTCGGTTTTAAGAAATTTGTTTTTAAAAATATATCTTAAATTTATCAATTTTATGTTGCTTTTTTTTTTACGTAAAATAAAAAGTATTCGATTTTATTTATAGAAAACTAGACCCCCATATATAAATTGTATCGTTTATTTTAGTAATTTTAATTAATTTCTTAGTTTAAATAAATTCGAGCCTGGCCGGACTTATATAATAAAGGTTTTGGGGAGATGGGTGGGCAGTTACTCGTAGAATAATTTATCTTTACGGTTTTTGATAAATGACCTTTACGTTCTTCAAATTCCCTTTCCATTGAAATCGAAGACACGAAAGTCAAAATTTACCGGGTGGATATGAATTTTATTTCCCATTTTTTTTTATGTAAAATAAAAAGTATTCGATTTTATTTGTAGAAAACTAGACCCCCATATATAAATTGTATCGTTTATTTTAGTAATTTTAATTAATTTCTTAGTTTAAATAAATTCGAGCCTGGCCGGACT